TGCAGGATGTTCTCCAAACCCTGAAAGACCCTATCCTAGGTGTGCTCAGCCTATGTGGGACGAGGGCAGATCTGAAGGAGATAAATGTGGGGTCTGCACCAGAGGGAGGCCACTCCACCCTAGTTTGAGGAGTGTCTCACAGTCCAGGCTGGGGCTCCAGGTAAACTTTCCCTGAATCCCTCCCGTGCTTCCCCGAGGAGCAAGGTGGGGACTGTGAGACCTAAGCAAGAGGCTGGTGTCAGGGAGGAGTCCTAAGATGCTTTCCTGAGGCTGGGCTCCAGGCTGCACAAGGGGTGAACTCAGCCTCTGAATTAGGATCTCCCATGCTCAGTCAGTCGTAGAAGCTGCCAGTTGGCAGGAGGAGTTATGGGAGTTATTCACAGCAGTTAATTCAAGTGTAAGCAGCCGCTGAGGTGTTTCAGCCTTAAGGGCCAAAACCACAAACAGGATCTTGGTATCTCCCACGCCATGCTCCCCCAGCCTCCCCCTCAACACAAAAATCGCCCCCCTCTGATTCTCACAAGAGCACACGTGTGCATGTGCGCATACACATCTCCAAGAGCGAGAGGGGCCTGGGGGCTAGGATGGGCAAGTGAAGGCTCGTGTAGGCCACTAGGATTAGGCATTAGCTCCAGCAAGGAAAGCTGGAGATATCATTGTAGTAAGCCATCAGAAGTGATTTTAAATGCTGTGGCCAATATTGGGACATTTCCAAGAATTTGCACTTAGTTGTGGAGAGAACAGGATGGGGACAGGGAGGACTTCTTCCTTTCCTTTCCTTTCCTCCCTCCTTTCCTTCCTCCTTCCCTCTCTCCCTCCTTCCCTCCTTCCCAGTGTCTCACTACAGGCTGGTCTCAAACTCTTACTCAAGCAATCCTCCCACCTCAGCCTCCCTAGTAGCTGGGATTGCTGGTGAGAGCCATCTCTCCTGGCTAGAACACTTCTTTCTTTCTTTTTCCTTACTTACTTGTGGTGTAAAAGCCCACAGTCCCAGCTGCATGAAATTCTAATTCAGTTGCTCTGGAGTGAGTCTGGGTTGTGGTTGAGGACCGCTGATCTAGACTGTGGCTTCCCTAGGGAGATTGTCTTTGGCAAGGATGTCTCAAGCTGTGGGTCTTCAGGACCTGCACAGTTCCGCAAGGTGGGATTAGGCCCTGGGCTTTGGAACCAGACAGGATTCGCAATCTAGGTTCTTTACTTACTAGTTGTGTAGTCCTGGGCAGGTTACTTAACATCTATGGGCCTTGGTTTGCTCTTCTGTAAAGTGGAAATAATAATACCAACCTTGTGGAGTTGTTACTGGGATTAAATAAACTAATATGTGTAAAACACTTAGAGCCATGCATTTATATGTCAATAAATGCTGGTGGTAGCATGGGGGACTTACTGCAAATACCAAAATTCAAGAAAGCTCAAGTTCTTGATATAAAATGGTGTAGTATTTGGACATAACCCATGCAATCCTCCTGTATACTTTAAATCATCTCTAGATTACTTATAATACCTAATACAATGTAAATAGTGGTTACACTGTATTGTTTTGTCATTTGTGTTATTTTTTATTTTTTTGTTTATTTGTTTGTTTGTTTTTTTGAGTTGGAGTCTCACTCTCTTGTCCAGGCTAGATAGCAGTGGCACGTTCATGGCCATTGCAACCTTGACCTGCTGGGCTTAGACGATCCTTCCAAGTAGCTGAAACTACAGGCATGTGCCACCATGCCTGGCTAATTTTTTGATTTATTGTAGAGACGAGGTCTCACCAAGTTGCCCAGGCTGGTCTCGAACTCCTGGACTCAGGCAGTCCTCTTGCCTCAACCTCCCAAAGTGCCGGGATTAGAGGCTTGTGCCATTACACCTGGCCTTATTGGTTGTTTTTGCTTTTTGGTTTTTGGTTTTTTTTTTTTTTAGTTGGAATCTCATTCCATTGCCCAGGCTAGAGTGCAGTGGCACATTCATGGCCACCCCAGCATCAACCTGCTGGGCTTAGGCAATCCTTCTACCTCAGCCTTCCATGTAGCTGGAATTATAGGTGCGTGCTACTGCACCCAGCTAATTTTTTGATTTATTGTAGAGACTAGGTCTCACCAAGTTGCCCAGGCTGTTCTCAAACCTGTGGGCTCAGCCAGTCCCCTCACCTCGGCCTCCCAAATTGCTAGGATTACAGGCTTGAGCCACTGTGCTTGGCTGGTTGCTTTAAAAAATATTTTTGATCCTTGGTTGGGTGTATTCACAGATGTAAGACCCGTGGATACAGAGAACCAACTGTAGTTGTCATCTTTACCCTTTGTCGAAGGCATTTAGAATTCAAGAAGAAGAGCCAAGAGACCATAGGAAAAAGGTGCCACCTCCCTGGAAGTGGGTGGAGTTGAGCCCTCCCCAGGGAGGAGAACAGAGTGGGGATGTTCTGTGACTGGAGATGGACCAGCTGGATCCAGGCACTGTAGACGTTCGTGTCACCAAGGAGGTCTCCAGGCTTCCATGGAGGGACAGGGAGGAGCAGGATTCCAGCTGTAGTGCTCCCAGGCTCTAATCAGGGCTCTAGGGTAGAGAAGAGTGGTGGACAAGGAGACCAGGACCTCAGCCCTGGCTTCTGCACCCACTGTAGGCCCCAGTTGTTTTTCTGGGAGTGTCTATTCTCTTCTCATTCACGGGGATTTCACAGCCAGCTTCACTCTGCTTTTCTATTTGTAAGCCAAACAGATGCCAAATCAAGGGAGGAGAGGACCAAGCTGCCAGAGGAGCTCTGGCAGGAGGGGAATTTGCTGTTTTACACTCCCTCAGCGTCCTAAAGCACTTTCACTTTTCACAGCATTTCAAATCCATTCCTCATTAGCCACGCCCCCTCGCTCTCACCTTTACTGAGATGAGCAAATGACTGTGATGCAGCCAGACTCAGAACCCTTCTTCTGGATATTCTTTCTCGCAGGAAAAGAGTAAAAGAGTGTTGGGTGTTTGGAAAGGAGAACACCTTTATGAGAGAGCCAGGTTCTTAACATCGAAAGCCAATTGTTGTGTTGCCTATAGAACTTGATTTTGTGTAGTTCTAGCAATATGGAGTAAATGTGTTGGTATAATCTCTGAAATAAATTTAGGCCAGCTTGATTGTAGACATTTTTCCTCCCAGGGGAGAAAAAAGGATTGCGCTGCCTAGATCCAGACTCAGCGTTTAACGAGTGCCTTTTGTATGCCTCACACTCTGCTAAGTGCTTGCTGAACATTATCTTATGTAACCCTCACAAAAGACCTGAGAGTAGATATGATTACCCCCATTTTATGGGCGAGGACACTGGACATCCGGAAAATAGAAAGATGGGCTGTTTGCTGTTACTTCAGGGAATGAGAGGTAAGAGAAGGATTTAACTGCAGGGTGGAGTTTTAAGTCAGACTGGCGTTGACAATAAGACCTTGGGGCAAATCATCTAAGGATGACTGTGGAATTGACTTCCTGGTATGAAAGGTAAGAAATTTCGAGGGGCAGAGTCCTGAAAATGTGACCGCCTAGTGGGAGGCCAGGGGGCCTGAGGGGATACCCGAAGCAAATGTAAGAGGAAAGTTTCAGAGTGTTTAGGGAAGGGGTTCTCATCATCCCTAGCATCCCCAGGGAGACTGACCTGAACAAGCCCCAGAGGAAGCCCAGAGAGGAGCCACCCTCCGTTGGCTCCTGAGTTTGGCAGGGCTGTTGTTTTTATCGTGTTTTCCAATAACTTTGCACCTTGGCAGAAATTGAGCAGAGTGACTTCTGCCCGTAATTGGCAGGGACCGTTTCCGGTTCCAGTGAGTGTGACTGGGCCACTTTCTTTGTGTTAAAACCCTCCCCCCACATACATCTGACCGCACCCCTGCCCCTTCCCATACATAGAAGCCGCGAGTGATCTGACCTGGCCTGACTCAGGGCGTTCTGTGTGTAAAAATACGTGGGGTTGAGCCATTTCCTGCTGCTTCCGTTGTGTGGCGATAAGACACTGGGGACTCAGCTGTGGACAGAGAGATCCTCTGACAGGCCAAGGGGAGCCAGACCGCGGGAGAGCCAGCCCCAGGCCTGCCCGCTGTCACCCAGCCTTGCGTTCCCCATCCCTCCTATCTTCTGTGACCTCCCCTTCCTTTCTCTCCTCCCTCTCAGCCTTTTTCCTTGCTTGGTCTCCCCAAGTTTTGTGCCACCCTCATGTGCTCAGGAAGCCTGTCTGTCTGGGGGGCAGTAGCAGAGCCTATTGTTTCTTTCCCATGCGTTCACCCCCTTAAAAACTGGGCAGCTGGCACCCTTAGGCCCCCAGACTGGTTCCTGCTGCCCTTGGCCTGTGAGTTACTTCTCGGGCTTCAGTCCTTGGGGACTTGGCCTGGAAGACTGAGGAGGGCTGGGGGCTCCCACCATTATGAAGCGGAAGAGGTTGCTGACAACTCCAGAGAGCTGGAAGGTAATGGAGGGGTCCTGGAAAGGCATCAGCAAAGGTGGGTGGCTCGTTGAGCTGTGACAGTGAAGACGGGTGGGGAAGGCAAGGAAGGATGGGGCCAAAGTGTAGGCTTTGGTTAGCTCCGAGGGAGAGGCCTACTCAAGGCAGGAGCCTTATGGGGAAACTGAGTCCAGAGACAGTTTGTCTCCTTCCTGAGAAATCCAACCCCCTGACTCGGATGAGGCCTCAGACCCGTTTGGTCCATGCACTGGAGGATCAAGAGTTCTGGGCTGGAAGAGGTTCTGTCTTTTCCTAGCTGTGTGTCTCTGAGCAACTTGCTTGAGCTCCCTGGGCCAGAGGAGGAACAGATTTTCCTAGACTGCATTTTAGGGATGTTGTAGGGATTGGGTAGAGAGTCCTTTGCCGATGGCAAACCAGTACTCAGCAGGACAGGAATACTGTTGTTGCGGTGGTTCTTTTGGGCTCCTCTTCTGAAGTTTCCTGTTCATCCTGCATCCATTTTCCAGGTAGAGAAACCAAGTCCTGAGGCATCCAGGGGCACTCCCATGGTGTCATGATTTATCTGTGCTTCCTCTGCTTGGCTCCTTCCAGGTCGACAAGGGAGACCTTGTGGCCCTGAGCGTCCCCACCGGCCATGGTGACACCGATGGCCCCATCAGCCTGGACGTGCCGGATGGGGCGCCAGACCCCCAGCGGACCAAGGCCGCCATCGACCACCTGCACCAGAAGATCCTGAAGATCACCGAGCAGATCAAGATCGAGCAGGAGGCGCGTGACGACAACGTGGCGGAGTACCTGAAGCTGGCCAACAACGCGGACAAGCAGCAGGTGTCACGCATCAAGCAGGTGTTTGAGAAGAAGAACCAGAAGTCGGCCCAGACCATCGCCCAGCTGCACAAGAAGCTGGAGCACTACCGCCGGCGCCTGAAGGAGATCGAGCAGAACGGGCCCTCGCGGCAGCCCAAGGACGTGCTGCGGGACATGCAGCAGGGGCTGAAGGACGTGGGTGCCAACGTGCGCGCGGGCATCAGTGGCTTTGGGGGCGGCGTGGTGGAGGGCGTCAAGGGCAGCCTCTCGGGCCTCTCGCAGGCCACCCACACTGCCGTGGTGTCCAAGCCCCGGGAGTTCGCCAGCCTCATCCGCAACAAGTTTGGCAGTGCCGACAACATTGCCCACCTGAAGGACCCTCTGGAAGACGGGCCCCCCGAGGAGGCGGCCCGGGCGCTGAGCGGCAGTGCCACGCTCGTGTCCAGCCCCAAATACGGCAGTGACGATGAGTGTTCCAGCGCCAGCGCCAGCTCCGCCGGAGCGGGCAGCAACTCTGGGGCTGGGCCCGGCGGGGCCCTGGGGAGCCCCAAGTCCAGCGCACTGTACGGCGCCCCTGGAAACCTGGACGCGCTGCTGGAGGAGCTGCGAGAGATCAAGGAGGGCCAGTCTCACCTGGAGGACTCCATGGAGGACCTGAAGACTCAGCTGCAGAGGGACTACACCTACATGACCCAGTGCCTGCAGGAGGAGCGCTACAGGTAGGTGCCCGCACAGCAGACCCTGGCCTGAGGCGAGGGGCACAGGCTTCCGACGGAGGGTTGTGGAGGCAGACAGAGGAGCATCTAGAAGGCTCCTGGGCTGCCAGAAGGAGCCAGGAAGAGGCCCCGAGGAGCCTTTCTCCAGACTGGTCAGGGCAGCTGGGAGACAGGATGGCAGGGCCCGTGGAAGGAAGGTTCTACCCGTCTCAGGGTGCTTTGAACATCCCTGCCTGGATGGTTATGTGGTTAGTGTGCAGCAGGGAAAACTGAGGCAGGGGCCAGCTACATGCCCTCTCATTCGGAGAGACTCTGGCGCCAGGTTACCTGGGTTCAAATCCCAGTTCTGTTGTTTATACCTTGGGCAAGCTAGTTCACTCTCTGCCCCTGGTTTCTTTGTCTGTGAGGTGGGCCTGAAGTGAATCCCTACCTCACAGGGTTGTTGTGAAGGCGAATGAGTCCAAGCCTGTAAGTCAGAGGATGTAAATATGTAGCACAGGAAGTTTGGACATCCAGTCCGAGCTCCTGAGGTCAGCCTGGCATCGGGCCGCATTGCTAGTCTCTTCCTTCCCTCGCCTTCCCCCTCCTGTAGCCGGCTGTCCTCTTCACTCTGTGCCTCTTGTATGGCACTCGGTACTTGCCCCCTGGGATTTGGGGGATTGTTTCCTTAGCCCTTTGCCTTTTTCTTCTTCTTCTTTTTTTTTTGAGTTGGGGGTCTCACTCTGTGGCCCAGTGCAATGGCATGATCACGGCTCACCACACCCTCAACCTCCTGGGTTCAGGCAATCCTTCTGCCTTGGCCGCCCAAGTGGCTGGGACTCCAGGCATGCACCACCACGCCTGGCTAACTTTTTTATTTTTTATTTTTTGGTAGACACAAGGTCTTGCTGAGTTGCCCAAGCTGGTCTTGAACTCTTGGGTCCAAGCAGTCCTCCCACCTCAGCCTCCCTAAGTGCTGGATTGCAGGTGTGAGCCACTGCTCCTTGCCCTTTTTCTTCTTTATATATATGAAGAAGGTTTGGAAAATTGAGGAGGAACCCCATATAAGAACTAGCCACCCCTAGCCAGGCTCGGTGGCTCAGCCTGTAATCCCTCGCCTTTGGGAGGCTGAGATGAGTGGATTGACTGAGCCCGTGGGTTCGAGACCTGCCTGGGCAGCGAGACCTCATATCTACAATAAATCAAAAAATCAGCCGGACGTGGTAGCGCGCGCCTGTAATTCCGGCTACTCAGAAGGCTGAGGCGGAAGGATCGCCGGAGCCCAGCAGGTCGAGGCTGCGGTGGCCGGGAGCGGCCACTGCACTCCAATTTGGGCGACAGAGTGAGATTCCAACTCAAAAAAAAAAAAAAAAAAAGAACTAGCCACCCCTTACATTACATTATAGTCATTGACGGGCTCAGTCAATCCACTCACCTCAGCCTCCCAAAGGTGCGGGATTACAGGCTGAGCCACCGAGCCCAGCTTATAGTCATTTTTTAATATTTGTGTCTTCAGAACAGGGACCGTGTCCTGTACATTCATGTGTCCTGATACCCAGGAGAGCAGCTTAGCCCAGGGCTTCAGAGCCCAGGTTTAAGTCAATCACTCCCTGACTGCTCCATTCACGAGCTGTGTGATCCTAGGCTGGCTCCTTAGCCTCTGTCATCTGTAGGATGTAGCCTCTTCTCATCTGTAAGATGGGGATGGGGATGACAGTGGCACTTGTCTCATGGGATTGTACAGAGAATCCTGGAAGGGCATGTGGGTAAGATGCTTAGCACAGTGCCCACACGTAAGAAGTGCTGTGTAAATAGTAGCCCTATTGTTGTTGCTGTTAAAATTAGACCAGGGCTGGACGCGTGGGGTGAGTTGAGTCATTGTTGGGAGAGTGAATGAATCTACCTCGGGAGTGAGGGCTGGCTCGGGGAGCCAGGACTGATGTTACTCCTTCTCCCTCTGCCAGGTACGAACGGCTGGAGGAGCAGCTCAACGACCTGACTGAGCTTCACCAGAACGAGATGACAAACCTGAAGCAGGAACTGGCCAGCATGGAGGAGAAGGTGGCCTACCAGTCCTACGAGAGGGCCCGGGACATCCAGGTATGGACACCAGCAGAGCTGGCAGCGACCAGAGGGTTAGGGGCCTTATCACATGGAGCACAGGCCGGTCGGTCCCTTCGCCAGGGCAGATAGCCACGTGGAGGAGAAGCGCAGCATGGGGCAGGGTGGGGTGGAGATGAGTGCAGCTCTGAGGCCCAGAGCATGCACTGTACAAAGGCAAGCTGGTAGACGAGGGCCGCCTGCAAGTGACTAACTGGAATTCCCAGGCCTGGCTAGCCACAAGAGGGAGCTAGGATTGGGCCAGCTCCTCTCCTGCCCTAGTAATCAAGACTCCCACTTCCTAGCGCCCTCCCCAAAGAGACGTCATTCAAGGGCTCTGCCCCAGCTACAGCTGATCAGCCAACACCCCTCCTGGCCTCCCAAGAGGGGCCCTTGTGGATCATGACCCTCTCCATGGGGTGGGTAGGTCCTAGCCTGGGGGTCTTGCCCATGCTGAGCTCCCGCATGCCAACCCCCCGCCCCTGCAGGAAGCCGTGGAGTCTTGCCTGACCCGGGTCACCAAGCTGGAGCTGCAGCAGCAACAGCAGCAGGTGGTGCAGCTGGAGGGGGTGGAGAACGCCAACGCGCGGGCGCTGCTGGGCAAGTTCATCAACGTGATCCTGGCGCTCATGGCCGTGCTGCTGGTGTTCGTGTCCACCATCGCCAACTTCATCACGCCCCTCATGAAGACGCGTCTGCGCATCACCAGCACCGCCCTCCTGGTCCTCGTCCTGTTCCTCCTCTGGAAGCACTGGGACTCCCTCACCTACCTCCTGGAGCATGTGCTGCTGCCCAGCTGAGTGAGCCCCCCCTGCCTGATGTTCTCCGGCCCCCAGCTGGCCACACATCTCCAGGAGGGACCCTTGAACTTCTTCGTGTGTCTGGTTTGGCCTCCTGCCCCAACTGTCCATTCCAGCAGCTCCTGCCCCCTTCTCTGTCTTAGCTTCTGTCTGACACCTTCTCCCTGCTGGCCTGAAGGGAGCTTAGCGTGCAGTCCTGACTGAGACGGCGGGGGCGCCCGTGGCCAAAAGGAGCAGAGGAGGACACCAGATTGAATTGTTTTGACTATTTACAGTCCGGCAAGATCTTCTCCCAGCGGGGCTCAAGATGCCCAGGTCAGGAAGGCCACTGAGAATAGGAGGAGAGGGCTCTGCCTCAGCTTTCCAGGGAAGAGCCCCCCGCCCAGGCTCCCGTGGAGATGGTCAGGAGGATGGCAAAGAGAGCAAGGGAGCAAGGCTCTGCTGGCCCCAGAGAGCAGAGCAAGGCTCTGCTGGCCCCAGAGAGCTCAGGGCGGGGAGGGGTCCCCAGCCCCCGGGTACTGCCAGGGCCAGAAAGCAGGCTCCCAGCAGCTGCTTTGGAGCTGTGGCTGGCTGCTGGGGCTGGGCCCTTCTGGGATCTGAAGGGTGCAGGCTCTGAGGGCTGGGTAGGGTGTGGCTTGTGTTTCCCTGCTGTCCTTCTCCCTGTCTCTCAGTCTGCTGTTTTCAGGGAAACAGGCCCCTGGGGCCCTTGAGCCTCAGCCCAAGCCCTCAGGCCTCTGGGAGCATGTTGGGTCCTATTTATTTATTTATTCGTTCCTTTGTCCCCCCCCACCCCCACCTTCCCCATTGAGCTCCAGGGAGAGGGCCTGGCCCAGTCCTCTCTCCGAAGCCCAGGCTGCTTCCTGGCTCTTCAGGCTTCCGTACCATTCCGCCTCTGGCTCTCCCTGGCTGGGAGAAGGGGGCCGAGCCACCCCTCCCCCACTCTCCTAAAGCAGCCCCACCGCCAGGATGGGAGGAGCGCAGCCTCTCTTTTATACGTCTATTTATTTTGTAAGTGTGTATCTGTGTGGAGGAGGTCGTTTGTTGCTTTATTTTTTTAAGGCTCTGGAGTGTTGTGTATGGTTTCTTTTCATATCCCAGCCTCCCATGGGCACTTCCAAGAAGAGGGGATTTCTCGGAAAAGGAGAGAGGAATCCCCTAGAGGGGGAAAACGGTGCCTGTCAGCTGTTGTGCACCTTCCCGAGAAATAAATATCCTCTCAATTTTCAAACCATCCTGTCTAGTGTTGGTTGATTAGGTTGTCTCCATGGGAACCACTGAGTCTCTCCCCACATTCTGGGTCACACAGTCTGGGCCTCACCTGTCGGCCTTCTTCCTCCAGGATCTGACCCCCAGCCAAGGTGTCATCCGCCCTTCTCACCTTTTTGTGCACCCAAAACTCTGGGCCAAGTGATGTGATAGGGAAGGATGAAACCCACCCCATCCAGCCCCCACTGGAGCACTCTTCAGGTGGAGAGCAATTGGGAAAAAGAGACTCCCATAGCTTGGAGCCAGTATGCAGCGGGAGGCCTGGCTGGCACAGCCATGCCCAGATGTGGTCGCCAGAGGGCAGCAGAGTCCTTACTCTAAACCCTGTCTCTGGGTTTAGTCCCAAAAAGGGCCGCTGTTGGGGTTAGGTTGGCTTTACCAGCGCTGCCCAGCCAGAGCACTGAGCACCTGCTGTCCAGGAGCTGAAGTGCGGTCCTGAGCCTAGTGACCAGGCCCTCGGTGTCTACTCTTGGCCACAACACCCGTCCCTGGCAGTTCACACAGAAGGGCACCCCAGAAGCTCTGGATTCCCAGCAGGAACCCTGTGGAGGTTGGAGAGAGGCCACTTGAGCCTCCCTACTGGGAGGAGGAGATCCAACCTCCAGCATCGTGGGACCGGAGGGGTTGTGGGGAGAGTACCCACGTGAGAGTCCTGGGCCCCAGCCCAGAATTAGTGCACCTGCAGCCAACTCACATGCCCTGTCTGGGCCTCAGTTTCCACATCTGTATTATAGGATGGATGCCATAGCTACTAATCCTGTGGTCCTGATAAGTCAAAAGTTGCAGCTGTATTCATGGCCTCTGACTGAAAAGGACTCCGAGAGCCAGGGACAATGCCACAACCGGACTGGACAGGACGCTGGGAGGGTGGCATCAGCAGTTCATCTTCACCCTCTGTATGATGTGGGAGTTTGACCAGGTGACTTTACCAGGGCCTTCTGCCTGTTGTTCCTGGACCGTGCACATACCCCTCCTTGAGGCCGCAGGTGGCCTGGAGCCCACATTCCTGGGCCCCAGGTGGGAGGTGGCTGCTCCAGGCTTCAGACATTTCCCACATTCCTCCCCAAGGTCAGGTGCTTTCCTTGAATTAAATATCACTGCCAACCACAGTCCACACTGAAAGGGAGGAGGAAGAGGCGGACATTCTCAGCTGATGCCCAGGCTGCAAAGCAAACAGGTGGGGAAGATCAGCCCCAGCTACACAGGATCATCTGCGAAAAAGACCAACGCCAGCCTGCATTTGCCTTACCAGGGCACGGTGTCTAATAAATCCTTGCCTGACCAGGTTCCTCTGATGGGCATTGATGCCTCCTTGCTTGCGTCTGAGCGTCAGTTCCCTCCGTAAAAAGAGGGTGAACTACCCCTGCTCTGACCTGGCCTCATTGAGTGAGACATTGACTTAGGGTTACCTCTGCTGGGGACCATCCTCCTTCAGACTGCAGGGCCAACAGGCAGACCCTTCCCAGAGCATCTGTTCTGCAGGCACAGCCCCTCAACCAAGGACACAGCCAGGATAGTGCACTCCCCCAGCCAGGGTCCCCTGTTGCGGGGTGGGGGGGGTCCATGCTGCAGTTGGCATGTTACTGCTGCAGCAGCAGCACTGAGCGGGCGGGTGGCTAGCGAAGGTGTGTTTACTGTGCCTGCGCAGAGCTGGCACACCCTGCCAGCCTCATCGAAACCACGGCGCTACAGCAGGTGCAGCCCTGGCAAACACCAGCACTGGCCAGCGGGGGGTGACTTAACCCCTGCCAGTTCAGGTTACTCTGGAGTGGCTCCAGGCTGCTGCAGGTGGGAAGGGAGGAGGAGATACTTGGAGTCACAGGGTGGAAGAGGAAGGCAGTACAGCTGTAGCCAGGGCACCCAGAAGGATTTTCATGGCAGTCTCAATTTCCCCTTCAATGTCAGGGCCCTTAAGTGATATTGGGATCCTACTATGTTAGGGGGCTGACCAACTTAGGCTCAAATCCCAGTGCTGTCCCTCTCCTTAGAGAAGCTTCCAGCTGATTTCAGGCCAGTTTCCCCATCTGCCAGGAGGAATGGAAATGACACAGGTTTGAGTGCAGGAGACATGATGCTCTGCTTGTCGAGACTTTAGCACAAGGCAAGCCAGGGTGGCTCATGCCTGTAATCCCAACATTGGGAGGTCAATGGGGGAGGATTGCTTAAGGTCAGGAGTTCAAGACTAGCCCAGACAACATAGCAAGACCCCACCTCTTAAAAACAAAAAATTAGCCAGGCTCGGTGGCTCAGCCTGTAATCCCACGCCTTTGGGAGACTGAGGTGAACGGATTGCCTGAGCCCGCGGGTTCGAGACCCGCCTGGGCAGCAAGACCTCATCTCTACAATAAATCAAAAAATCAGCCGGGCCTGGTAGCGCATGCCTGTAATTCTGGCTACTCGGAAGGCTGAGGCGGAAGGATCGCCGGAGCCCAGCAGGTCGAGGCTGCGGTGGCCGGGAGCGGCCACTGCACTCCAGTCTGGGCGACAGAGTGAGACTCCAACTCAAAATAAATAAATAAATAAATAATTGCCAGGTGTGGGGGCTCATACCTGTAATCCCAGCACTTTGGGAACTGGAGGTGAGAGGATTACCTGAGCCCAGGGGTTCGAGACCAGGCCGGGCAACTCTGCAAGACCTTGTCTCTAACAATAAATCAAAAAATTAGTTGGGCGTGGTGGTGTGCACCTATAGCTACTCACCAGCTACTTGGAAGGCTGAGGTGAAAGGATCATCTGAGCCCAGCAGGTCAAGACTGCAGTGGCTGTGAGCATGCCACTGCATCCTAGCCTGGGCGACAGAGTGACTCCAATTTTTTAAAAAATTGCTGGGGTGGTGGTACGCTCCTGTATTTCCAGCTACTCAGGAGGCTAAGGCAGGAAGATCACCTTAGCCCAGGTGTTTGAGGCTGCAGTGAGTTATGATCAAGCTACTGCACTCTAGCCTGGGTGACAGAGAGAGACCCCGTCTCTCTCTCTCTCTCTCTTTTTTTTTTTTGAGTTAGAGTCTCACTCTGTCACCCAGGCTGGAGTGCAATGGTTCGCTCACGGCCATTGCAGCCTCGACCTGCTGGGTTCAGGTGATCGTTCCGGCTCAGCCTTCCAAGTAGCTGGAACTACAGGCACACATCACCACGCCCAGCTAATTTTTTCATTTGTTGTAGAGATGAGGTCTCGCCAAGTTACCCAGGCTGATCTCGAACCTGTGAGCTCAGGCAATCCTCTCACTTCGGCCTCCCAAAGTGCTAGGATTATAGGTGTGAGCCACTGCGCCTGGCCAACCCTGTCTCTTTAAAAAGAAAAATAAAAGGAACTTTAGCACAACGCCTAGAACATAATGTATCAAACCAAGACAGTTAATACCTCTCTTCATGCCTGAACCCAGGATGTCAAAGCGCAGAACTGCTCAGAGAAGTTGAAGGCCAACCTTACAGAAATGTACAAGGCCAAGGTGACTGAGTGAGTCTTGACCTCTGCCAGTAGAGGCCCTCACAGTTCCTGTTCCCCAGGAGCCGAGAACCTGCTTATTCCCAGAAGCCTGTCCCCTCAGTCTGGTAGACAAAGCCAATCCAGGCCCAAGAGGCCAAACCTTAACTTGACAGAGGACTGGGTTAGGCCTGCCTGGCCCAGGCTGGTTGCCACCACCCTGGCCCCACAAGGGTATCAGTGTGTGGGGTTCTCCCTCCTGCAGACCATGGTCCTGGGCGTAGGATCTAGGAAAGAGAGCAGAAGTCAGCGTCAAAGGGCTTTGGTTTGAATAGGGATTGTGAGGTCATGGGCCTTAGTTTCCCCACCTGAAACATAAGGATATGGATATGTGTGCTGCCCTATTGACAGGACATTGGTGAGGTTCAGAGGTGTCAGGTGTGAGTGCCTGCCCCACAGTGCCTCCAGAGCTCCCCCTAGAGAGCTACCTCTTAAGACACTACCAGCCATCTGGGGCCCCCAGGGAGGGCTCTGATTTGCCCCAGGGGCAGGGCTGGGCAGGGCTTGGGAAAGTGGACAGCAGTGACCTGTTAGCCTGAAGGCTTGCAGCCAATTTCCAGAGAAAGAGGGCAGCTCAGCCCCCACCAGGCCTGCTGGGACAGTGTGTGGCGAGGCTGAGACTTGTCCCAGCACATCCAGACCTGCTGGCTGGTCCTGAGTCACCCAGGCAGCCAGAAGGACAGTCTGGGTGGTGATGGGCGGTGACAGCAGCCCTGTCTCATACACAGGGCCTCCCAGGAGAGCACCTCCTCCCTGGTAGCCTATCCCTGCCTTTGATGCCCCATCCTCTAAGGCCGAGTCTAGGCAAAGTATTCTGGGCCCAGCCATGTCATATCAGCCATGTCCCTGCCTCCAGGCAGGCATCTGCCAAGTCAGCTCTGATTCCAAAAGCACCAAGAGAGACTGTGAGCTCTGGGTGCCCAGACCCTGCACCCCACCAAGTTCTCGGGCTCACGTTCTGTGTCGCCTGACTTTGGTCATTCCTGTAGCAATTTCAGCTCCCTGGAGAAGACCAAGGAAACACCTTAGAAAAACCTGGGTGTCTCTGGCTGCTCTGGAGGCTCTGTTCTCCTGCAGGAAGAATCAGTCCTTTCAGGACCACCCTCAGTGCCACCCTAGGTGTCTCTGGTTATGACTGGAATTGGGCCACCCTGTCCTTTTTCTAGTTGGATCAGCCCCAGGCACTCAGACTTGGGGTGGAGGGGTGGAAGAGACGATTTCCCATTAAATTGGTCATTAAGTGAACTCATGCAAGAGGCAAGTCTCCAACACAGACCTGTTGGGTGTCTCTGACTGGTCTCCTCCTCACCTTCCCAGCCCGGTGGGGCCAGACCAGGGGTGGGAAGACATGAGAGATGGGACACCAGCTGCTGAGGAGGAAGGGTCCTCTTCCTTCTTCTCAGTTCCTCCTCTGCTGCTCTTGGAGCTGTTGTCATGGTCTGGCAGCCTAGAGTTCAGGTGTGGGCCCCCAGACCACCCAGG